AATGTATGTAATGTATGCAATGTATGCAATGTATGTATGTATGTATGTATGTATGTAGGTAGGTAGGTAGGTAGGTAGGTAGGTAGGTAGGTATGTATGCATGCATGTATGTATAAAGGTGTGTAGGTGTGTAGGTGTGTATGAATGTGAGTGTGCATATATATATGTATGCATATGTGTACATGTACATGTTCGAGTTCCAGCTGTATTGCATAGCGGTTCTTGCAGATACGGATTCCCCGGCGTACAATGGCAAAGAGCGTCCACTAAGCCTATAGTGAACTAAACATCTGCTCAATCTACTTGACAGCCCATCTTGGCCCTTTCTTGATGTGGCCCAGCAGACAGCTGCGGGGAGCCGTTTTAAGAGGTTAACCGAATTTGCGTTGAGTTCGGGCGCAGCATGCGCAGAATCGCCACATTGCCACATGTTGCAGGCAAATGCACTTGTCTGGGCAGCATCCAAAGAGGTTGTGTTCGTGCTTGTGTATGCATTCGATGCGTAGGGAGGCTTGTGCTACAATTGCGAAAAGTGTTCTGCGTGGAACATTGATAGAAAGGGCTTCGGAAGCTGTATCGGAGGCCGTCGGAGGCGCCCGGAACATGTCGTAAATTGTATCGAAGCCGAAAACCCCTTAGGAAGCTGTATCACTGTATCGGCGCCAAAAAGCCGTGATTTCAGGAAGGCCCAGGCCCAGAGCCCCGCAAAACTTTGGAGGCAACACCTCAGGAGGCCTGGCTGAAAAGGAGGCTAGCCGGCAGTTTGGAAAGGAGGCTATCTAGGAATCTAGGAGCCCAAAATAAAATCGCCTTCAGGAATGTACCGGAGACGACGCAAATCACTTTGGGGAAACTTTGTTGGGGGTCCTAGTGCTAGTATCTTTTCACAGAGCCCCATACATCTGTTACGCGAAAATCATACGACGTCCTGGGCGTTCAAATCCGGTTTCCGGTGATCCTCCGGATACTCGCAATCAAGGACAGGTATCATCCGGGCCCCAACGAAAAGCCTAAACCAGAACCCTCGGATTGATGGACCGGAGGATGCCCATACCAGTCGTGAGGCGGTAAAGTCATGGTATTGAAAGCGTACACTCACACACACACACACACACATCATGTATATGTAATCTGTGACACATGTACAATCGATGTGTTGAATGGCCATCGGACCATCTGGATGCATTGAGATGGGGCAGTAACCCGATGCATTGAAGCACTACAGAGGCATGCGTAGCACTGCGTTCAAAGGGATTTCCGATCACCAAGTGTACACATCGCTACGTTTGACATCCCCATCATTGATGCGTTTACTGGGGGAAAGCACTCCTCTGGTCGACTTCGTCAACTTCCTGAGCCCTGTGCGCGAACGATTTCGCTTGTTCCCTTAATAAGAAGACCATGTGGGGAGATAACGTCCCCTGCCTGGGGGCCATTGCAGCCAAGGACTAACGTGATCTCCATCACAACGATGTTCTACCAAGAGGGACCCTCCGTCAAGCCCCTTGGGTGAAGAAATCTCCGAAAATTGAATTTAAATTGGCCGCGGGAGCCGGGAAATTCTTGGCCAAGCAGACTGCAGCTGCAGCTGCACAGCCCAGATGCTGTATATCGCTGTATCCTGAGGCCTCTCTTATGGGTCCTGCGGTGACCCAGTCTTCGTCTTTTCTACATATGCTCGTCTCTGCGCTTTTACTAAGCCGTTTCCTGCCCTCATACACGAGTCGCTCCTGCATGAGGCTTCGCTTTCCGACATCACCACGGATTGCAGGCGGGGCATGTGCTTAAGAGCTTCCGCCCAGCGTGAGATGTACAGTAGATGCCAGAAGTTGTAGCAGGAGGTTTCGGAAACTAGGGGCCCCCTCATCATTAAACCAAGAACCTTTGGAATATATAGGAACTCAGACGATAGCTTTCGAAATAAACAACAACCTACCTGCATACCGACAGGGGGCCCGTCATTTGGACTTCCGAGATAAGGCCACATCCCCTGCATCTCTTCCGCTCCCTTCTCACTAGCAGCAACGATGTCGAACCAAGGGCTAAATTCGGCTAGATGGTGGATAAAACACTATGTGTACGCTGGAGAATGCCATTATGGATGGGCTGGCTTGAAGTGCCTTGTCCTTGTCAGCGGTTCACTAGTAGAGCTGTTGATGTCAGGCCTTGAGAATTTCTGTCGTGGCCTGTTTTCACTTGGTGGGTGTGTTTGTCACAGCCTGTCACAAGAACTCGAGCGAGAGCCTTGTAATTTGTTCCCGCCTGAAGGCTGGCGTGGCATCATAGGGGAACTTTTGCCTTAGAGCGAAAGCTTTGCATGTGCACATTTTACGCCCCTGCTTGCCACAATTGCAAGCTTTACCAGTGCTGGCGCAAGGGTGACCGGTGACCGAAATGTATGTGGATTTCGAAGCAGAGAATGTCACGATGCAGACATTGGTCGTCCTGGCAAGTGCATCTTGGCGGCATACAGGCAACCTCTCACACGCAGAGCGGCATGAACTGATGCTTCCGCTTATCTATCCGAGCAACTGCTCGCCACCTCCGGTCCAGTGCACATCCGTGCACTTCCAGTGAAGAGCTATACAAAGACTGCGTTTAGGATAGCCAGCTTTCAGACAGTTGGCCAACATGCATCAGTTGGTAAAACCCGCACCACTGCAGGATCTCCGTGTGAAAAGTCCGAGTCGACAGGACCTATCGGACATTATCGGACCTCAGCCGACAAAGCGCGTCAAATTCATTAATTATTTCACGGGTCCTTTTGTTCGTCTATACTTTTCCAAACTTTACAGGCTTACTGTGGCATTCCTTAGTTTGTAACAGGCTCTCTTTCCTCGAAGTGGCCCCTAAACTTCGCCCGACTTCGTTGCATGCGAGTGCCACATTTTACGTAGACGACTTGGTTGGGACCCCTGCAAGTCAACTGCTCCGCCAACCCCATAGACGTGTCTTCAGACCTGCTCTGTGGGTTTATATATATATATATATATATATGTGCATGATGCACGCTAGAAGTCCAAAGCCGTAGTCTAAATATCTAGCAATCTAGCCCGCGAAAAAGGTCGATGCTCTCACAACACGGACGTGTAGGACCAACCACAGCTTTTCCTCCTGAAGCCCCCCTTCAAGAACATGGCCCCATCATCATCACCATCGCCAACATCAAGGCAATGATTGCGACAACGATGTAGTAGGCACACCGTGAGTGTATCCGACAAGAGTGCTGTTGTCTTCAGGCCCTTCAACTCATGGACGCCATGGCCGCCTACCGCCTGCAACCCACTGCGGTATCCTTCGGTCATGCTTGCCTGTGGGAAATCTAACTTTCAGCGTTGTTTCAGGCAGTACAACATGCCTCAACCAGAAAGATGCAGTTCACACATGGTTTATAAGATCAGGTTTCACATCATGCTTGATTCATGTGATGGATGCCATAGCCCTTAGCATGGTCTCGAGAGGGCGCGAGGTGTCAGCATATCAGCAGGATTGTCTGAGCATGGTAGCTTTGGGCGGTGTCGTTCAGCTATAGATGATCGCCGCCTTCACATCCAGTCACTGTTGCTTTGTCGTCCATTCTAGTCTAGAGCTCTTTGAAGATCTGATCCAAGGAATATCCATAAGCGCAGAAGAAGCTAAGCGTGCCGGATTGACTCAACTTTCCTTCCGCAGCTTTGCTCGTGTGCTTCCCACACGAACACCCGGTGTGTCACCAGCGAAGTAATCCTGAGCGCCGTGCTGCTCGGACTATTGCGCAGCTGCTTTCCAGGAATCATGACCAGTCAAGACAACTCTAACTTCTAACAACTGGGCTCCAATGTGCCCGCGAGGCTAATACTTCTCGACAGGTCCCTCCGACCACATGTCCGACTCATCTGACTGGCTCAGGTAAAAGCAGGTACTAAGCGAAACGATGACTGCTAGCCTCACGTACCTGGCTTTTGATCGGATAGAGCGTTTGTGCCAAACCCTGGACTGACCCCAAACCGCCTTCGGGCCTGAAGTCGTCCTGAGTTTCTGAAGGCATTGGGACGTAGCTCAAACCCTTGCACCAGAAAGCTTCATGGCGGAGCCGTTATCGTTATGGTGTTTCCCATTAATGTCATTAATATTGCTTTTTGCCGTGGAGACTGTTCATGTCCGAGAAACTGTCGTTGCTATTTGCTTTGAAAACTGCGCATGTCCGAACATCTGTCATTGCTATTAGTGTTGCTTACTGCGACTGTTTCTGTTTCTGTTATTATTACTATTTGCCAATTACTATTGCTAGTCGTAGCGCTATGCCTATCACTCTCACAAATGACGATTACTGTCATTCTAATCCTGATCCGTACTAACATTTACAATAACTGCCACTATTGCTATGATGATGATGTTTATTGCCACTGCACTGTATGATCCAATGTTGGTGTCGTCAGTATCATTGAATACCTGGTGTTTTCATAACTATCCAGTATTGTTAAGACCCATGCCAGGCACAGCGATCTCGGCGGCCAGTTCCGCAGGGCATTGGGAAGTGGCCCTTCAGGGGCTGTGTGGCTGGAACCCAAACGTGGGCCTTGCGGTTTCAACTTTACAGCAAGTACTGCAACAGGTAGTATCGGTTGGTCTCTTGGTTTCTCCGACCTGACTGCAGCCATCGCGGGGCACAAAAGTCAGAGGCATGTGCAGACTCAGGACTCACAAGTGCTGGTAGCAGGTTTGCCTGAGCAGAATCCTTGTGCGTCTCTGTGTGGTAGGATGCCTGCCCTCGGTTCCTATGTCAGGCCACGACCACAAGCAAACCTGTTGAATTTCCTGCTTCGAGTAAAGGCCTGGTTTCGGACTTGGCGTGCATTACTGGGGCTCTCTTGAACACATCTGCTTTGGAAGGCCTGGCAAGGCCTAGATCCTCAAAAGGCATGTGATGTTTCACGAGAGTTGTGTTCGAGGGACCAGCCAGCCTCATAGTCGTCCCAAGCGTCCAGCACCAACCCTATCATCTCAGCGACCGAGTGTCCATATCCTTTGCTCTTCAATCCCAGCGCAGGTCACAATCTCCGCAGTGGCAGAGGGTCTTACGCAGGCTTCGCGGGAGGCTCCTGGACATTTGCAGCTCGGGACTCTTGGATCTAGCGCGTCTTTGGTCAAGGGTTGGTTTCCGATCAAACTATGTTGGTTTGCTAGATTTGTGAGTCAGCCGAGGTTCAATTCTGTAAATACAAGCTGAAATACAAGCTGAGGCCAGGATCAGTCGTTTAGGGAAATCTGGGGCCTGCATGATCTCATCCAGAATAATTCTCATTCAACTACTTGGCTTTGGTGCTGAGCCCAACATCCCTCAGGCAGCCCTGCAGGGAAAAGGAAATTAAATGCCCGAAGCAAAGGCTTGGCTTGGACTGTCGGAAGGGGCTGTGTTTGGTGATCTTGCATGCGCATGAACATAAGTTGGAGAGAAGTCGAGAGGAAGCCGGGTTGTCTCTGAGACCCTTCCAACCCGGTTGGGAGTGCCAAGACCCTCAGCCCAGAACAGTAAACCTGGGACCTCAATTTGGCTGAGTCCAAAATATTCGCGTGCACGACAGCATAAAGCAAAGGCGTGTCGGGGTTGGCGTTTAAATCATGATAACGTGCCCAACCGCTCCAACTGGTGGCCCTCCATTACTCTGAGCCTCCAGCTGGTTTCAGGCCGTCAAAGGATGCCTGCAACCGGTGGCCGCTTGCTTTAAAGGTGTGGGCTATGTAGGTTTCCGCTGAGCCGGAGCACCGAGGCTGTGGTTTTTTGATTGCATTGTTGACTGTCAGTGGTGATATTGAAATTGTCACTGCATCTGACAAGTGCAGTGCGGGCCCCTATGGCCTGAGTTTTGCATCCATGTCGTTGAGTCGAAGCGGGCTCTCACACACACACACACATGCACACCCCCGGTTTGCGGGTCTGGAAGACGACGGGCCTGGCACTGCAGGGGCTTCCAGGTTTTAGGAGATTTCTGGGAGGGTCGCGCACATGGTGCGGCCACAGGTTAAAAATAAAAAGCTAGACACATTCACAGCTGCTGCCATCTATACTTCCGTGATGACCGACTCTTGAGTTTACCCGGGGTTGTTGTTTGCTCATTTGCAATTGTTCGTTCAGCAGCATCTGTGACTGAAAGTCGCTGCCTGCAACTCCGAAACTCCGAAGTCTATAGCTGCCAAACTCGTCGATCTTATAAATATACCCGAACTGTCCAAACTCCGAAAATTACAAAAGGAGCAAGCTCTGTGCCGGCACCTGGCACCTCGAGCCTTAGAAATCATCCAAGGAGTGGTTGGGCATGTTCTTGCGCACCCCTGGCACCGCGCCAGCCACACGCCCAAGGGCACATGTGGAGGGTTGGCCTACTTCTTAGCTTCCACCCGAAGGAACTCTCAGCCATCAGCCAGAAGCCTCAAATTCTTTGGTATGTCAGTAAGTGGTTTATGTAATTTGGCTTTGCCCAGCTGTGTGTCGAAGGAGGCGAGGAGCAGACTTTTAGTGGACAAAGGGGCACGATCTCGATCCTGGAATTTCAATACCACGGAAGTGAGTTGAACCACCGTTTTTGGTATGACGATACCTGCACTCCAGCAGTGATAGGAGCTGTGTGGGCGTATTCAAGGTGTCCTGTGAACTCTTTCTCCGGCTTCAGTGTGGGTTACGCATTGACTGCTGATTGACACTGCAGCGACACTGCAGCACGGTAGGCGGTGCTGCGCCTGAACAGTTTGTGGACTCCTGCACCTCTCCTAGCGCATCCCCTTCCCCAGCGTCCCGACTCGACTCGGGCCCCAGGCCCCATCCGAAGTCTCAGGCCTACATCCTCAATGCCATCTTTCAGAGCCGGTCGTTGAAGCTTGGTAGCCTCAATAGAGGCTTCAGGGCTTCGCGTTTATGATGCTTGCTTCGGACGTCCGGCCCCAGCCCGTGACTCAAAAAGGGCTTCGCGTTTGGCTTCCGGTGCGATATTTCAGGTCCGGGCTTCAGGGCTGAGCTGTCGTGACCTGGAAGGGTCGCAAGGGTCTTACGCTTTGAAGCCTTGCGAGGTGATTCAGAAGGCTGGGCCCGAAAGTCTCATCGAAAAGTCGAGTCTGAGAGCAAGCAGCTTAGGACCTTAGGATCTTAGACAATGTTTTTTTCACAGGCCGCTGATGGTAATGTCGGCGATGTGTAGGAAAATAGTGCCAGGAAGTACTTCGACTACGACTACCAGCGCCAGGATGCCGGGGCCTCACCAGAACTCCCGCTTTTCGTCATTTGACTCAAAGCTTGTGCAACAAGTATGTGGCAAAATATTCAAGCTCCCAACCCTTGCAAGTGTGCAGAGCCCATTCTCTAAAACCCGGATCGGTAGGCATTCTACTCGTAAGGTTTGAGGGCCCAGCGCGCCAGAAAACCATCCGCGATTGACACAGCCTTAGCCCATCGCACAAAGAGATTGCCAAATATGCATGAGGACACAACGGATGTGCAAACTTACATCCCACAACACCTCGCACACCCCGATATATTGGGTGCTGTTCTAGAATTCTACACTCGGCCCGGCCCTGCAGATCTTCTGAATTAATCGCATCGAGGTTAAGGGATGCAGGCTGAAGAGTCGGGAATGGCGGAGGCTGTTCAGGGACTCTTGCTATGTCAGCTGCAGGAACCGGCGAATGACCCCAAGCCGTATGATCCCGTGCAAGCTATCGGTGTCTGCTGCCTGGCGCAGTCCTGCAGTCCCAAGACTTGTCGATGCAGGCGAACATGGCCCATTTCGGCAACTCCTCACACATCAACGTCGAGGAGGGGATGTCTTACGAGGACTGAACTGCTGGCAAGATTTTGCATTACCCTTGGGCACGAAAGGGCTTAACACAGATCGGATTGAAGATGACGCGATACCTTTAAATTCTTCGGCATCCCAAAGCGGTCATCCAGTGCCCAAGCTGCTTCCAAATTCGCTGCTTGGCATAACCTTGCTCTTCCATTAACAGAAATGGAAAGTCTGAAAATGAATCACCAAGTGTGCAGTGCAGTGCTTTGAGGCCCCTCCAAATCCAACATCCGAAAACCGCTCTGCCCACAACAAACGCTGTGAGCCCGAACCATGCCAAATACCACATGCCCTGCGACCTCTTGGGTTCATGTGCCTTCGGAGCTACAAGTGGCGATGGATAGACACCGGTGAATCTTCAGGCTCACAAAATGATGCCTATTAGACGTGGCCAATCGTCGAAGAAGAGCGGTTTGGGACTTCTCAAGCCGGCTTCTGGCATTGACAGGCACTTTAAACGCTTCCTACTATCGGTAGCAAGCAGTACAGCCGGGACGAGCATGTACTGCATGCTCCTGGATCACCGTCGCCACTCCGCCCCTAGAGCAACCTGTGAGACCGCAACCCTCCGGGCACAGATCTTATCATGTGTCCCGACATAGCATGCCTTGGCGACGCGTGGAACCAACCCTGAGCTCGACTCGACGACATCACGTTTTTGAAATCCTGGAACTAGACCATACAGTGCAGTGGGTTTAGGGTTTCGACCGTGTGACGTGTGACTTGGCACGTGCTCTGACACATGTCTACACTCGTCACTTTGATTCCTTGGCGTGGCGTGTACATGTTTCGTTCATCTGCAGACATTGCCTCGGCTGCGTGCGAGTTTGTCTGCAGGACTTTGAAGCCTATTTCGAGAATCGCGAGAAGCTCGGCTGGAGCCTTGGGCCGGTCTTCGGATCTCAAGTGACTCAAGTGGCTTGTGCTCCTGCCCTCATGTTAAGGGGCGCTTTTAGTCGTGGGAGGTTCTTTATGTATCTGCTGCTTTCTCGAGGGTTCGAAAACCCTACGTTGCACAGCCTGTTTGAAAAAGATGGGCGTTGGCTGTCAGTACAGACAGACAAAAGGCGTTGTGCATGAAGGGAGGTTGTGCCTCGGACAAATTGCAGAACGTAGACTTCGTCGCCAGGGTGATCATGCTCCAGGGATTCAGGTTCCCGATCCAAGCCGATGGCTGACACTGGAACATCTGGAACCTTCCAACCGCGTAGCTGCAGCTCGAAGCTACCTCAAATCCGAAGCCCTGAGCAATAGCCCAGACGCCCCTAGAAGTTTTTTGTTAGGTGTTGTTCCAGTTAATTAGCTTGCACACTTGTAAAGGCACCTCGACCGGAAGTGGCTGCATCTTGAGAAACGCGCCATAAATCAGTTGACAGGCACCGATGGCTTTGATCTCTTGCGTGGACTGGGCATTGAGGCCCGAGGGCTTCCGGACTTGGAGGTTTCGGGGCTTGAGCCCAAGTGTTGAGCTCGGAGGGTGTAGGGTTTTATGTGGGGGCTGTGGTTGCATGTCATTCGCTGAGGGTGTCCATAATTCTGTTCGACATTGGTAAGGCAATCACCGAGACACCAGTTAAACATGCTAAGTCAATAAGCCGCCCTACACCGTACATCATCCTAGATCGAATTGTATACAACTACGAGGAAAAGTCTTCAGAACCCACGAGACTCGACCCTTAGAGTTACCTGCCTGAAGAAGCTATAATAGAAGCTGGCAACAGCAGATGACAGACTCTTTTCTCATTTCGTGACGCCCTAGGTGTCTTCCCGCTCGCGGAATACGGACCCGCAGGATGACGAGGCAGGCGAACTGCTCCAAGGCTTCGTGACTCAGGCTTCGGAGATCGGTTTTTCTGCGCGAAGGCAAAATTTTGAGTGCATGTAGAGCTGCACGAAAGAGAGGTGGAGAACTACGATTTCGACGATCACAACCACACCTCTGAAGCCAGAAAGGTCTTGGCGCAAATGGCCGCTTGGTGTTTCAACCGGAGACACCCCGAACCTAGCCTTTTTGCAGGACTGCCCAATATGATCTGATGTAGGCCACAAAACCGGGTTAAAAATGAGGAGTTCCGGTTGTCCAGGAATCTAGGCATGCACGGATTGCACAGCAGCCAAAGCGTTTTGTAGCTGTCGGGTTTACGAGTGTCGTTCCTATCTTGGGTTTACGAAGTGTTTGGGTGACTACGAATTCGATCAGAGTTTCAGATGTGGGACAAGGCATTCGGTGCTCCGGCCTGGATTTGGGCTTGATGATCTGCATCGGTTGGTTTCCAAAAGGAAGGTGGTACCCAGCTTGAAGCTGGAATTCGGTTCAGCTTGTCCCACCTACTGCCCTGACTCGTGAGATCTGCATCCTGAACCCCAACTGCTCCAATTGCCGGCTCAAGTCAAGATGCCTGGTACCGATTAGGTGCACTTCATACGCGTGAAGATCTGCGAAGGGCTGCTTAAACTTGGAAGCCCGAAGCTCCACAAGTGCCCTGCCTAAACGCATACGTGCGTTCAGACGTGACGGAGCCAAGGATACGAACCAGCGGAACAGCCTTTGGAGCCTCGGATGCGCGGGTAAATGTGTCGATGCATGAGTGAGAGAGAGAGAGAGAGAGAGAGAGAGAGAGAGATGGAGTGCAGGGTCGAGTTCAAACATGATCTTCATTGGCCGCACAGGGTGCGAGGTAGACTCCGCAACTCTTCTATACCAGCTCTTTTCCTTTCCTACATGCCGGTCATGTTGATTGGCAAGGGATCAGTTTCGAGACCGCGGCGTAGCAGACAAGGTAGGAGTTGCCCTGCAGTCAGTCGTAGGTGCTGCAAGCTGGTGTTTCCCTTATTCCAGGGAAATCATACCGCAATTCCGGAATCCTGTGGAAACCGACTCAGTCGCCGGTTAGCTACAAGCTAAACCACAGGCTCACCCAATGCTTGCATTCCTCCATCAGCACCAAACCTCAAACCGGCTTCCAAACACGTCCAAACCCTAAACCGGAGAGCGCATGACCCGAGAACCCAAGACCAAAAGCCCTGTAATTCCCAAACCAGATGCCGTAACCCCGAAGCCTCGAAAATCTCGGCGCAGGTCCCGCACCCATACTGCCAACACGCAGCTGGCCGAGGAGACCAAAGCGGATCGCTGCTCCCAGTCCCAATTGAACCGAGGGTTTGCAAGGGCAGTAGTTAGTAGTTGTGAAAACAGGAGGTTTTCCCAGGCAAATTAGTGTATCTGATCATGCAGTTCAATCAGCAGCCTTACTGATATGTTCAGGCTCAAGATGAAAAACAAGTCCGATTGAGCTGGGCTTGCATTCAGGGCTTGGGCATCTTTAGGATTCGGTCCCTTACCCTTCCTTTCCTTTGTTCTTACCCTGCCCTGGTGGTTTCCTCGGTTGGGGTCAGAATAAGTGGTTATCAGCCGTAGTGTTCCTCCTTGTTTTCTGGTTCGTCGGATTTCGGATTTCATGGATAATTGCTGAGCGCACATGTCAGAAGTGCTCCTCCGCTGGGAGATCAGGGCCCGGTGGAACCGGAGCCGAATCCTGTTACCAAGAGGGGCGTAGGAGCTGGTAAATCGGCTGCCAGAAAGCGCAAAGCGTATCACCCCATCTTTACGAGCATTCGTCACTAACGAGGTACCTGTTGTCTACGCGGACGTGACCTCTAGGCCATTTCTATACATTGCCAGGGTGGACTCCTCAGTTTGAGAGCTCGGAAGAGGAGGAAGAAGTGTTCGCGGAGCCTGTGCCCATCATCCCGAATGCCGAGGCATCTGTGTCATCTTTTCATAGGCTGGCGAAGAGACCCCCGACACCGCCGCCTCCGCCTACTACACCTTTTACCACGCCAGAGAGAAGTTCACTGGACTCTTTGCCGTGTCCCAGGGAATCACCGGTCCACCAGCGCAGTTGTTCGTTTCTTGAGGAAGTTCGTTGGACGCCGTGTGTGTTCGAAGCCAGTGTGACCCTCGTTTTCGCCGCTGCCGAAGGGTTCGACGCAGCTGCCGAGGAGATGCGTCATTGTTGATTGGCCTCAGGATTCGTCGTGTTGGCTGTTCCCTGAAGTGCAAGCTTTTGAATACCAGTTCAGCTTGAAGAAAATTGCATTCAGAGGTTGTGCTCTTCAAGTGACAACATTGACCGGCGTTCCGAATGATGCTCCTTGGCAAGTCATGTCATCTAGCCGGCGTGCCATCGATAATTCCAGACCTTTCAAGTGCTCTCACGCATCCAACGTGAAACATGACAAAGCAAGCTCACTGTGGCCCGGGTAGCTCATTATCCTGAAGCTTTCCACAGGGTCCAAGGTGTTGGGTATGTCAATCTTTCCCTTTGCTGATGCATTTCACGCCCCTGCCCTGCCGCGCGTTCCACAGCTCCATCGTGAGAAGGATTCCAAGCCTTCTGCACCGCTTGATGTGCTCATGCACGAGTCTGGCATGAAAGAGATTAAGATCCGAGGTCTAGTTCACAGGCTCCTTGATCGCAAGGAGTGGGCCGGCCAGCCTGGTGCCTTCGAGGCGATCAAAGATGAAAAGGAAGGTTTAATCGGTGATTGAAGATGAAATCATTTCCAAAATGAACTTCAAACGTGGTTCATTTCGGTAACTTGATGATAATCTTATCTGCCAAAGCGAGATCCGTCAGGCATGTCAGGTCTTTGAGGAGTTGTTTGCTTCTTCTACCGTCTTCTCTTTCGCCGCTCGAAGGCTTGAACACTGCCGTTTCTTTCGATCTTCGTGAGTCCCGCGGCGATGCCTCTGCCTACTGGCAGCAACACCTTCACGCGATTCTCTTGAAGCTCGGTGGGGAAGAGTTTGCAAATCTACCTTCGGCTTGCTACTTCATTTCTTTGGGGTTGGTGCTCTGCGTATATGTACATGATCTCACGTTGTCTGGTAAGCTGTCGCTGCACGAAAGCTTTTGGAACTCCGTCTGTCAGCGGGTCGAGCTGGAGCCGTTCGCGCCACTCACCAATGTTTTGCGGACGTTGTCATAGATTCACCTTCTGGCAACAAAAGAAGGCGCTGGCTCTCGAGTCAGCTGACTTCGCCAAGCAATGCGTGCAGCTCTACGAAGCAGTTGCTTCACTTCAGCAAACACCACTTTTGCAGCCGATGATGACTCTCGAGGTCAGTTGACTAAGTCCGCTGCTCGCATCCTTATGAAGATCTTCTGGTTCGCTCGCCGGAGCTGTCCAGATATGCTTGTGGCAGTTACCACCCTTGCCTCTGACGTCTGCTCATGGAGCAAGAACGACGACAGACGGGTTCATCGGCTTGTCGGCTATCTCCTCAGCTCGGTAGATCATTGCCATGATCTTGTCGATCCATGATGCTCCCTCCGAATTAGGGCTGGCCCTCTACTGTGATTCCGATTTCGCTGGTTGTGTTGACACGTCACGCTCAACAAGTGGATACGTGTTAGCCTTCGAAAAGCATTTCCAGCTTTGCTCTGCTCTCTCTTGGAGGAGCTCGGAGTAGCACCGCGGCAGAGTTCGTTTCACTTAGTGGAGATCTGCTGAACGATGCTGTCCCTATATGCTTGAAGCATGGGAATCCCTCGTACCAAGCATTCACCTCCGCATTTACGAAGATATCGACCTTGTATAGCGATAGTGAAGAAGGGATTCATCTCCAAATTGCAACATCTTGCTAAAACCCACCGGGTGAATGTAGCGTCCACCTGTGAGCTGGTAAACAGGAACGAGAAGGTTCTGCTACAGTACTGCAAGATTGACGCCCAGAGAGGTGATCCTCTCACCAAGGCGCAAATGGGAGCATGCGTTGGGCTTCATCTCCATTGCAACCCAGCGTTTGCCAGACTTCGACGGTTTGGTTTGTAATCGTTTCCTTTAGATGGTTGGAAAAGGCCACTATCAGATGCACTGTGTTGAGCTTTGTGCTTCGAGGATGTGTTGAACACAGACTCTTTGAGTGCTCTTGCTCTTTCTGTTAGGCTGCTTCGCGCCACAGAGATGAGGAGAACACCTGGAATCAACGATCGGCTGGAAGCTGTTGCTTCCTCAAGCTCACAATTAAACGGAGCCTGATCAACTCCACAGTGCATTCGTTTGTACAGTCAGTCGCTCCTACAGATCATACGGGGGGGTTGTAAAAACTCGAGGTTTCCCCACGTAAAGTAGTGTATCTCATCATGTAGTTTAAGCATCAGCATTACTGATATGTTTGGTTCAAAATGAGAAAACAAGTTCGACTGAGCTGGGCTTACGTTCAGGGCCTGTTGCGGATTCGATCCCTAGCCCTTCCTTTCCTTTGTTCTTACCCTGGCCTGGTGGGGGTCAGAATAACTCTGGTACCATACTTTCGAGATCTGTGTGGTCTATGGGTGCGTTAAGGTTGAGGAGGTTGAGGGATGTTACAGTTCATGCAGGGATTCTGTCCTGCGCTGTGTCGTGCATTTTCGTTGGTCTGTACTAGTTATTTGGCACGATAGCCCGGCAGAACCACAGGAGGTCTGACTGCAAACACGGGTTGAGGGATATTGGGGGCTGAAGGCTTTAGAGGATTGAACTGGTTTAGGGCCACATGCCGTCGATGCGTGATATCTTCAAGTTGCTTGGGAAGGCCTTGCAATGCCAGAGTCTGTTGGGTTCGCATCGATCAACCAGTAACGAATGATTTTTCATTAGAAATCAAAAAGTGTCCAAGGCTTTTTCTGTTGTTTTAAGCAATCTAAAAATGTCAAGTTTTTTGTGTTCCCTTGAAAATAAAGACCGTGAAGGCGAGACCAAAAAACAACGTAGGAAAACCAACAACTCCAAAAGTTTCAGGGTCCCCCAAGGGCTGGCACTGTTGTTGGTGTCCAAGATCCTGGCCGCCACCCTCCATTTGCTTTTGATGTACCATGCTTTTTATCCCACTCAGTTCATTTCGCTCAACAAATTTATCCCGAATGCTAAAGATTTAGCATGGTTGCCTCCGAGGCTCTTGTTGCAAGAGATCGGCTGCCGCGTTACAGATGGACTCGTTGACGAACAACAGGACGATGTGATTCCGTAGGCCACTGTAGGCGATATGAGGAAACCAGGCATGCATCCCTGTAAGAGCCTGTATGCATGTATTTGGACACATGCGCGAGCACACACACACACACACACACACACACGCACACACAGATAGATAGATGGATGGGTGGATGGATAGATTGTCGGTTGCTAGATAGATAGGTAGATAGAAAGATAGAACCATCGACACGAGGACAAAAGATGGAAAAAACTATCGTTCATGGGGTTTACTTTCAGTACGAGAGGGCCTGTTAATACAAATGGATAGAGGTTAGTGCGTTTTAGCCCGGTAAGCACAAGAAGAACCAGGCTTGCCAAGCTACCAAGCACTGGGGGCCAAAACCGTGAGCAGGACGCCGAACCTGCAAGCTCACATCTCAAGCCCGAAACCCAAAGTTCTCCTAACCGTACAGAAAGAGAGGGAGAGGACTACACATGTACATATTTTTATATATACATATATGGATGCATGTACGTATGCATGTATCTGTATATATATATATATATGTATGCTGCCCCCCCTGGGTTATCTACCCGTGGCGGGGGGAAGGAGGGTTGGACCGAATGGTCCGTTTGGAGGGCCGCGGCGCGGCATCTGGGATTTCGGAACTCCTTGAACGAATCGAAGCTTATTTAGTAGGGGTACACACAGAGAACAGAATACCGTACAGAACGCCTCCTATACATACCTTATAGAATACCTTCTACAATACTTTGTGGGTTAACCGTAGGAATACCTTTTACACCACTTTATAGAATACTTTATACTGGTCCCCCGATATAACGTACATATACAGTAGAGAATACCATATGGAATACCCTGTTGAACACCTTATAAACGACCGCCTGTGTATGATGAACTTTGTATGCCTTACATATGCCATATACAATACCTGCAGAATACCTATAGAATACCGTATACGATTACCTTTACAATCACTTATAGAATATACCCTAGAAAGTATTCTATAGATAGGGATTCTAAATATGGAAAACTAGTCGGAGGTCAAGGTCTGAAAAGTCACCAGTTGAACTGCAGCTTATGGGCAAGGGGCTCCTACGATTGAAATCAGGAACCAAGACGAATAGCCTCAAAACTTAGAAGGCCTTACAATTACCTTACAGAATACCTTTCTAAACATAGGCTACAGAACAGGCTTTTGTACAATACATTATGGAGTAC